CTTTCTATTTTTTTTATATGGATTACCTGGTCACAAGAGGAGACTTCCTACGAACAGACTTAAAATTTTTGTTGGAGGGCCACTCGTATAGTGTGTGCGATAGATATTTTGGAAACATTCAAAAAGTTTTTAACGCCCAAGAGAAAATTGAAACACCCAAAGACTGGGAAAACGTTCTAGTCAGCAGTGGTTTATCAAACGTCAAGGTCTATTGGGTAGGTCTGGACATGATAAAGGACTACAAGTCATTTTAAAGTTAAAATACGTCAGTAGAAACGAAGATTTACAGCACGAGAAATTTGAGGTCAAAGAAATCGCGTGGATTAATGTTGGAATTGGGGAACAGCCTGATGACAGGGGCAATCTGAAAGTTGTAGATCATCCCGACTGCGCCTTCGTGCGTTTCACTATTGACCCAAAACAGCAACCCAGGCTAGTTTCGTACACAAAGAAAAAGGCAAGCAACTCCACTGCGAATAGACCTACTGACCACACTGAGGCAGGAACTAAGGCCAATTCGTGAAGATGTAAAGCAGCAGTGTCTAAATCTAGCTAGAAAATATTTAAGTGAACGTGCCGAGCGTTTTTATGCTGCCCTACCATGTATCCAAGAGGGCAGCGAGATTGACGATTGAAGGTTATCATTATATACCTTTCACTTGAACATTAATCGTGTGTCCTAATTAGCTTCCTCTTTAACGCAGCACCTCAGTTTCCTTCGCCTTGCCTAGAACCTGGATTTTTCAAAGTTATCCTAAACAGGTTATTCTTTTTAATATATAAATGGTAGTTAGTACAGGTTAAGGCTATTTAGGTTCTTACATAGGTTATGTTCTGAATAAGAACCATACAATATAGCCAAGAGAATTTAGTGGTTCAACTTATTCCTCATATAAAATCTGCACACCAAATAAGTATTGACCTCATTGGCATTTGAACAGTCCAGTTAGAGCGATAATGCAGGTATGTCTTCAAAGAGGATTCTGAACAGTGACTGATCTAACTTTTGCCCAAGGGTACAGGCAAATTTTTTCAGAGATTTTAGAAACTAAGAAATTGTTTCAATTTCTAGACTAAACAGGTTCTTAAAATATAGGTTCTTAGGCAAGGGGTTTCACTGTATAGCACCATTTTATCATTCGCTAATAAATAAATCGTTGTTGTTGTTGAAAACTACTGTTTGCTGCTTGACCGTTCCGGTACGACAGTGAGTTAGAAAGCTACACTAGCCAATGGTTTGGATTCTGAGATAGGTACCTTTTTCTAAAATCAGACAGATATATATATATATATATATCCTTGGTGTTGGAATATCCTATATAATCCACATATATAACCTCCTTAGTCGTACTTTTCAGGTCGGTTAAGAAATGTATTTACATGACACCATTACTCTTTGTCAAGATCACATACGTGACTCTAATTGTGAGCAAGCAGATGACATGCTTTTGTCCACTTCCCGCTGCGCCAATTGCAGCCAAAAAAGATCGGAATTCCTAGACATAGAGTTTTGCACCGACCTTTTATTCTATTTTGGTGTTTGGGTTTCAAGTTATTTTAAAAACAGTAGTTGGACGGTTTGGTTTGATATTTGCTCAAATTTAGCTTGTAAGCTGACCTTGATAGTGAAGTTTTAATTAACTTTAAGACACACCTCTTCAAGCTTATTTCACAAACACAAAAACAAGGTCGTTAGATAGAAATAATTACTTTGCTTAGTAGGTGTTTTTAGCTGTGGAAAGGAAAATATTAAGCAATTCTCGAAACGAAGTCCGTTTGCTTAAAACTGAAATTAGTTCTCACTTTTGCTTCCAAACTGGAATAATAATCAGCCTTACATACCTCATTAAATGTAGCTTAGTGCCACGTGACCCAACACCTTTTGAGTTCTTTGTTCTCAGTTGGGCCATTTTCAGCTAAATTTTACTTACTTTCCTAATTTCAAACTAGACGTTCTTTCGACAGAATCGTAGGAAAATTAGGTTTCTTTCAAACCATTGTTTTAGTTTCTTGTATAGGAATTTGGATATAGAGATATCTCCAATTTTGCCCATTTTTTTCCACGCGCAGCTGAATTCAACTAAATTTTGGTTTCTTTTGTTCTATCAGATCTAGCACCTCCTAAAGGCCGATTTAGACGGTACGATTTTTGCTTGCGAATATCGTGCGCGACTAGTATACGTCATCACTTTTGACCACCCACACGCGCACAATTTTCACTTATGACATCCACATGTGTCGTACGAATGTCGTGTGCATTAACACAACACGATCTGTAGTGAAGTCATGACGTATGCTAGTCGCGCACGATAGTCGTAAGCAAAAATCGTGCCGTGTAAAGCGGCCTTGCCTTTAACACCTACTTTCTGCATATTAATACTATGTAGTCTTGCTAGAAACCAATTAACTTTATTGTTCAGTATAAATACAACCGCTTTGTAAGCTAAACTTGATTCACTTAAGGATCTCAACTAAAGACTCAACTAGTAGAGTTCTACGAGCTGTAAAGAAGCAAATAAACCGCGTTCAACTCAACTTCTTGTGTTCCTGAACATCTCTCAAAATCTGTAAAATTCCACCCTTTAGGTCCCGAAAGTGATCAACATCAAGTTTCTTCTAACAATATCAAAACAAAATGGAAAGATGCGTTGATCTTGTATCAAATTATCACAACTTATTTTTTAAGGAAATGTGTTGAGATCAGTACAAATAAATTCAATGTGGATACTAAGACGATTGAATTAACAAAGGATGCGAAATCCTTAACATATGGAAAAGTGAGGGGTAGTAGGAGGGCAGAGCGTTTATTAGGGATAGACTGCTTATTTGCAAGATTTACCGACGGGGGGTGGGCGCCAATTTGGAGAAAGGAGCGTGTTTTAGCTCAATGGGCGTGGCCGTGGGGTGCCTTAACACGAGTCGACCAAACAGACCTGGCTCGTCCCCAGTCGTCTCTTATTATTTGTAAGGGACCAAGGAACGGTTGCGGGAGACTATTACGGCATTCGGTGCGAAGAGGACCATGGCATAGTTGCTTCCCTTGACCGCGCTTCTCTCGTTAATATTAGGGAGCTCAAGCGACAACGACGGAACAAAAGAAAGTGTTTACATAAGAAAAGAGTTCAACTCCCACAGGATTTGTTTGGAACTCCAACATGGCCACCATTTCATTGTATGGCCGCCGTGACGTCGTGTGAAAACGCTCCTTGGAGACTGAGGGGCAACTGGGGTCGAGTCAACAAACAGACGGTCAAGAGGGTCACCAATATGATACAATTTAACACCTTAATTTATTTATTTATGGCAATATTTAGCTTAGAGTTTAGTAAGCAAAATGTTAACTTACTTGTTAAGCGGGCTGCATGTGGCAGCCTGCGTTAAAGTTTAGGCCAAACGCCGTTTTTCTTGTTTGTCCAAATGGCACTATTAACCCAAGCTGGGTGCATATTAAATTTAATGCATGTTTTGATACTGTACTTGTTACGAACGAGTGAATCACTTTGTATAACTGTCATTATACTACTACATGAGAAATTTCTGCAATCTGATTGGCTTAGAGCAGTGGTATTTCAGCTTAATTTGAAATACCTACATGTGAAAATTACAAACCTTTTGTGGGAAGTAGTATAAACAAATAATAGCATGATTTGTATGTGATATTTGGCATAAATACCACTCGTGATATTTCAAAATTGTCTCAAATTTCACTCGCCTAACGGCTCGTGAAATTACGTATAACAATTTTGAAATATCACTCGTGGTATTTATGCCAAATATCACTACAAATCATGCTATTACCTATACAAATACTAAATAAAGGCATAGATGTAGAAATAATCTCGGCTTACCTTAAACTGGATTTTTTTTTATTGCTTTATCTCTGCAACCTTAGCTCACTTCATGGCCATTTTCTATAACTTTGCGGCTCATTGGTTGTTCGTCGAAATCCATTTTGTAATTACCGAAAAATAAAATCTTAGTATATAAGAGAGATTAATTTTTTTAAATCTAAAATCACTGGTCCGTTTTAACAGAGATTCGCTCTTAAAAAAAAGACGTTTTGGCTGCAATAGTCGTTTAACTCCGGCCAGATTACAAAAAATCAGCGGTGATTGCACCGTTTTTGCACTGGATGGGGACAGACGCCAATTCCCTTGAGACACAAAAAAACAGTTAACTTTGAGTTATCTTCAAGGGAAGTTATGTATTGTCCATACTATGAAGAGAAAAAAAATTAAATCTTTCTGTTAAGGGTTTATCAAGACGTTCACAACGCGAAAAACAGTAATAAAATTGAATGTGTATGAATTAAGACAGAAACAGTATTCCGCTTTTTCGAACGAAATTTCTGATTCAACAAAAAAATTACGGAATCACTTGCCTTGGCAAGTGAGAGAACTTAAGAACAAAGATATTTCTTTTCTAAAAAGTGGGTATTTATTTGTTGCTCATGGATTAGCTGAACTCCAGATAAGTTACATCAGCTTTACAATTTCATCTCAGCCCCTCTTTCCCACGGACGAAAAAAGAAAAAGATTTACTTCACATCGAATATTCAAACCAACAGCAATAAAATATTTTATAACTGTACAAATGACCGATTATTTGGATAATTTTGACTTGGTTGACAGGACTTGCTAACAATGTTTGGTTCTACGGTAATCAAGCTCACGTGTCATGCAGCACGTTTTTAACAGGAACTACAACTAGAACCAGTCAAGCAAGTGTTTCGGTTTTCCTAGGACAGCATTAAAATTAGTCCAAACAAATCACATCAGGATCTTTGTCCTTAGTGATATCCCCAGTTTTCACAGTATGCGACTGGCTAGGTTCCTCCTGAGGGGCCTGGGGAGTAGTTTGACCTTGTCCTGGTGAAGCTGCTGGCGTTTCCGAAGGGGAACTGGGGCCAGATGAGGTATCTGGCTTAATAAGACCCATTGCTGAAGCCTTGCTACGTATTATGGAAGTGATCTGATTTTCCACCAGAGCTGTGGCAGACTTGCTCAGCATTTTACCAATTCCGCCTTGGATAACGGGGGGTGTACTGCTTCGGGGAGACTCGGTTCCGGTTTGGCCAGTGCTCAAACTGTAAACGCTATTGATGACTGGAGTAAGAACGGCTCCAGAGCTGGCAGGAGCCGACATTGTTTGTGGTACTGCGGATGCCGCAGTCACAGCGGGCTTGGTAAGAAGAGTAGTGACATACTGTGTAGGGGTGGGTGAGTTTACGTGATGACTGATCATCGGAGAGCCTGGTTTAGGTATATTCTGCACGAACCCGGGCTTGGCCTGACTTGATGTGGCAGTGGAGGCCGAAAGCAATAGAGTAGTTGGTGGAGGCGGCTGGACTGTGATGGTTGCATTGCTGCCTGTCACGGGTGGAGCGCGGTACACAGAGCTTGTAGTGTAGTGCAGGGGTCCTGCTCTAATTTGTACAGGGGGCATTATAGTGCCACCGCAACACTAAGGGCTGGACCTTTGGCTGGATAGTAACTGAACCCATTCCTGGAACGGGAGGGGGTTGGATGGTGTTTCCAGGTATGGTGACATTGGGTGGTGGTCCCTCACCACGTTTCGTTAGACGGCTGAGGATTCCTCTCTCCGACATGTTAAGCCGAGCAGTGACGGGAGGCATTCGGACTAGTGTCGAAGGAAGACGATTGACGTCCGACTTCATGTCTGATAGCAACTCCTCCAGCTGATTAAGTACTGCAGACATAAACAAGAACGATAAATCTGCGTCTGTAGATCCTAGAAGTTAAGAAGATGGCAAGTCCTATCCACTGGATAAATCACTATCCAGAGGATATCACAATCGGTTTCCCTAATACGTATCTACTGGTTAGCGATTTATCCTGTCGATAGCGACATAGGTCCCTATACAGCTTTTGAACAATTTAGGACTGGTGATAAAGTGACTTTTTGTCTTTTAATCATACAACAGGGTCACTATGTTAAATAACGTTTTTATTACCACGAGCGAAAGGCAGATAAAATTCATTTTCACAAGAAAGGTTTAAAACCAGGACTAACATTTTTTAATTCTCTCACAAAACGTCCAAAAGAGGGGAGCGATGAAAGGCGACAATATTCACAGGCTTATAGTCTGAACGACGCTACTTTAATTGTGATGAATAGGTACAAACGCTTTAAAGAGTGTAGCAAGAAGTACCTCTAATGGTTCCCATTTTTCCACCCTCCCCTTAAAGACAGCCAACTCACAGGCTATTGAAGCCATAAGCTACTAAACGTTCTGTGTGGAAGATTAGGGACCTTAAGATCCGACGACGGCGACGGCAACGGGAACACCACAAAAGCAATAGGTTTAATTAGCAAAACAACAATTTTGCACGTGCATCACGCTTGTTTGTACATTTCTTTGCCGTCACTGCACGACTACGACGTGAAAATGCCTAATTTCACGATGTACAGAGGAAATACACAAGCGACGTCGAAATTTCCTCTCTCTTTCTGAACTTGGATATGGTTCTTAGGAATTCAACTTTAGGAGGGTTCGCCTACAGTTGACAAAGTTAGTGACTTGGAGTAATCGCGATGAAGATTGAAAGAACGCGAATTCACTTTTTCAGCGACGTTTTTTCTGCCGTCGCCGTCCTCGGATCTTAAGGTCCCTATTACCTTTATGAAGTACAGCATTGGCAGGTTTGTTTCCTGCTAACGACTCCTTGGACAAATGCTGGTGACTTTCTGCTAAGCACTCCAGTTCCGCAAATCTACCGAACAAAGACAAAAAATCACTGCACATTGTATCTCAGTTCTCGAAAAAGGTGCTAAAACACCGTTCCTGCAGATTGGTTTGATTCTTACCTTGCATTTAAAGCCATGGCAGGGTGGTTGGCATCTTGCCTGAGTTTCATGGTATCGGCTCGTCTCAGCTGTTCTTCTATTACAAGCGCTTGTTCTAACAACTTAAAACAAAAAAGCACATAATTCACAAGGGTGCCATTCTCGGAGATCAATTGCGAGATGCTCAAACCAACACAAGGCGTGAACTATGCCAACACAAGAAAAGCACACTAGTGCGCTACAATATCGTCAATAAACTTGCTGTGGACTGTGACGGTATTACTTAGTGTTTGCACTGTCTTCTTCTGTCGAACCAGTCTAAGAGCTTAATTCAGGTTTCTAATTCCTTAACTGAATTTCTAGTTTCAATTATGACCACACCAGTGCTTGAATTAGCATAAAAGAGATGTACAGGGGGAAACAAGGAAGCAATGCCACTGACAGAGGGCTAAATTTGATGGTTTAAAACTCAGACTTAAGACTGAGGATTTGGGGATATCGCTGACTCAAGAAAGGTTGCTTTAGGTATTAGGCATTAAGAACCTATTGTTTGGCGGTACCTCAAGCAAATCATTGCAGCGAGTTCCGTATGCCCCAGTGATCAATACTTTTAAATTGCCTATGACCAATTGCCAAAGCAATCTTTGTTAATAAGGTACAGATTTTAATATTACACAGTCACTGGTCATTTATCCCTGAAACCCACAGAAATTTACGATGAAAACCTATTTGATGTCTACACACAAAATTGGGAACAATATCAGCAGAACAAACCTTAAAGCGTCGCGCAATAAAGCGGTTCTTGTACTCCAGAGAGACTGCAATAGAAACAAACTAAGGTATAAGATAAGCAAAAGAAGTCTGGACTGGGTTGATGATGACTTGTTTTAGTGGTAATGTTAGCGTGGTCTGAATTGAAACTGGTTAACGTGCGCCGTACTTATTCTAACGTCTCTTCACTGACTGTTCCTTACCTTAGACTTTCTCAACGTACGACGCTCGCGCGTCGCCTCGCGCCTTTGGCAATCACGAAGTCGACTTGTTTCTTAATTTAAGTTGCTCGTCTCGCGACTTCGCCGCTCTCGTTCGCTTGCTTCGCTCGCGCCTTCGGCACTCACGCAGTCGACTTGCTGCAAGTCAATTCCTTAACTATTACCAGTACACCTTCAGGGATGTCACTAGGATTTCAAGTTGCCGGATAAATACAATAAGTAGTAGGCAAGGAATCAAACAGCTAGGGATTTCTTTTGGTTCTACTTTTCTTCAATTTTCCTATGCGACTAGGCGGGGGCCACGTTCATAACAGCCGGGGGGAGTCCCCGCCCCCCGGCTCTTAATGACAGCCTTACCACTTAAAATTAAAGGCACGTGAGTTGTGACAACTCTTGGCTGCTAATTTCATTACAGACGCTGCTCCAACAACTTACCATTTTTGAACGGATCATTGACCACCCCAAACTTGCGATCATTAGCGATATCCTGCCATCTGCCATAACCGTGACTGAAAGAGGGATAATGTCAAGGAGGAACACAATACCCTACTCTCACAAAGTTTCGCAATCTCACAAAAGTAGAGAAATTTATACAATATTCTATTATAAAACAATTTTAAGTCGCAGTTCGGATGGTTGTAGTTTTAGATAAAATGACGTTGTCTCCGCTGGATTTTTTTCAGCATTTTTTGTTTTCCGCTCTACTATAAACTGCACCTTCTACTGAAAAGCCAACGTTTGATATATCAGAATTGTAATATGACTAAGAGGCTTTCCGAAAAAAAACTGCAAAATGTTTACGATGTTAGTCTGGTAATTCCCAAAGGAGACCTGACCACAAAGAAAACCAAACCAGAAAGCATTGGAGTTGATATATCGAACGTAGGCTATTGTCAGCTGAGGAACAAGGCTGGCGAACGCGCAGTGATGAGAGCACCCGAGTGCCACTAATGTAGCCCAGGTTTGAATCCTGGCGTCAACGTCATATGTGGGTTGAGTTCGTTGTTGGTTCTCTCGCTTGTTCCGAGAGGTTTTTCTGCGGGTGCTCCGGTTTTCTCCTCTCCTTAAAAACCAACACTTTCAAGTTCTAATTCGATTTGAAACGCACGGACACGTTTTAACGAGTTCTAAAGAACTTTTAAGTGCTTCGAGGGTAGACAAACAACCAATTACAAAACAAATAAGTCCAAACAGCACATACCCTTCAATCAGACGCCAGTTGTTCAAAAGATGGATAGTACTATCCACTGGATAAATCTCTATCCACTGGCTGACACATTTGGCTCCCCTAATACTTTTCCGCTAAAAATTGATTCATCCGGTGGATAGCGCTATCCAACGTTTGAACAACTGGGGCCAGGCCATTTCAGGTCCAGGGTTAGGCGAGGGAAAGAGCTGAAATTTTTTTAAAATCCTGACCGTTCACACACTACAGGATACTTTAAAAACCGCAGAATGAAAATTTCTAAGACGCGTCTGAGAGAACGTTCTCTTCTATCCCCCCACCACAGAGATCCATAAGTAGAGAGGTTAAACGCATCGCGTTTACGCCAAACGGCAAACGCGAATTTGCACCACGTGACCAAGTTTCCGCTTTACTTGTCGTTTACTGTTAATTATTTCTACACATAAATTAGTGTTTCACGGAATTTTTCATCCATAAGTATGAACTTGAGCACTTTTTATCTACTCATTTTCTATTTTGAGAAATCCTCAACTTGAATCTGACGTTTGCCGTTTGCTGTATAGGTGAAGCTTAAACTCTCTAGTAAAACACCTCGAACGGCAAGTAGCGGACAAACGCTTTGATGTCAATGATCCAATGCCATGTAGTTAGACTGGACAAACTTTTTAAATCTGGATACCCAATACATAACTTAGACCACAAAATGGGATGGGAATGAATAAAAGGAGTAATACAGTAACTACTTCAATAACTGTGTTCAGGATACATAACAACTCCGGCCAGAAGCCAGTAATCATGACATCTCCACCAGATATCATCGCACTTCCTTTTCTCCTCCACTTCCCACAGAGTATGCAGCTCAGTAAATCCACCGTCGGCAATGTTAAACATGAACCGCTGCTGTTCATTAGCTGCACTGGCAGGTTTGCTCAGTCCAGCCGATTTCTCAGTAGATTTCTCCTGTTTAGGGACTGCTGCTGGATCAGTTTTAATAGGGGCCTGCTCTGTTTTCGCAGGCGATTCGGTCTTTTCTACTGTATTGTCAGTTGCCTTTTTATCTGATTCTACAGCATCTCCAGCTGGTTTGCCCTCCTTCTGATCAGAGTCTATTTTCTCTAAAGGTTTATCATTAGTTTTATCGGTTTCTAACTCTTCTTCTTTTTTCTCGCTCCCTCCGCTTTTCTCTTCTGGTGCTTTATCTGTTTGATCAGAATCCCTCTTACCGTCAGCCTCATCAGAAGAATTTTCAACTGACTCAACTTCCTTTTTTCCTTCATTTTCCTTTCTATCAACCACGTCACCTTGCTCTACACTTTCACTCTCACCACTCTCTGTTTCCTTAGTCGTGTCCTTTTCCTCTTTTCCTTCACCTTTTCCTGAATTATCATTTTTCTTATCAGCTGTGTCAACAGTTTTATCATCGTCTTTCTCCTCCGCTTCAAACACTGGCTTCTTTTGTTCGCCATCCTTGCCATCTTCAGTAGACTTTTCTCCAGTTTCTTGAACATCCATTGGCTCTGTTTCGACAGATTTATTATCATTATTTTCTTTGCCTTCACTGTCCTTCTCAGGATCCTCTTTTTCACTAGGAACATCAACATTCATTTTGGTGTCTGTATCAGTCTTTGGATCTGCTAACAGTAAATAAAAAGTTAAAACAAAATACAAGGTTTCTTGATGTTGTGGATGGGTCTCTCTCTGCGCGGCTGAGGCGCTCATGGGGGTTCCCAGTGGTGTCAACAGTCGACCTTTGCGGTCCTGTGCCAAAGTAAGAATTTCGTGAGGAAGCAGGAGATTTTCAGGATTGATTAGTTTCGCAGCATATTCGTGAAATATAATTTTCCGTCCACAAGTCGTCTGTGGATGGGTGCAATCACCGAATGACGTTGGATCATTATACGTTTCTGGGAAACTGCCCACCTACCCCTCCCCTAAGCCAACATCAACAATTACTTCTCACTTAGAGCAAAATGTTGGCTTAGGGGAGGGGTAGGTGGGCAACGTATAATGTTCCACCCAGTGATACTTGACAATTATTTACCATTTCACATCCAACAAGCCGCGCGAGTGGAATAATTGTTTTATTACAAACGCCCACAAAATATCGAGAATTCTTCTCGACTTTATTTGTAAAAAACGACCGATTCTCAGCTTGCTTTTAACTTTGAGCAGACGCGTACAGTTACCATATATGGAGAGCATGGTATAATGGCTCATATACCATGATGGCTAAGCCAATCAGAGCTCTAGTATTGCATTATCCAATGATTCAATTTTTAATAAAAAAGACTACACCACCGAAAAATACCCACACAACGACACACAAGCGAACCAACAATATACTACGCAGCACCATGAGACACCCAGCAAAATAGTTTACATCATTACACTAATTCCTAAGAATACGCATAGCCAATGTCCTTCGTTCTTAGAGCGCGCGCCCTGCGAGAGACGCACAATAATACCCGCAACTCTTGCTCTTACAATGCACTTTTTCCAAAGGAATGTTTTTACGGTTATTATTTAAATATTTTGGGTTTTCTTTAACTCCAATAAAAGCGTTTTGTTAAGCACAAGCTGATCTCGCGGGTAGCAAGTTTCCTGAAGTGTCTAAACCAAACCAGTCATTCCTCCAGGCTTTACAAATGGACAAAAGGCGACCAGATATTGGATAGCGCTATTAGCTAGCCCAGTTTACATAGGGTGGAGATAACACCATTCCCTGCAATCGACCCTTTTCACAATCAAATCAGTAGGGTCACTAATCTGGAGGATAAAGTTAAGCACTTGGGTCTGGATTTAGAAAGACCTTATGAGTTAAGATTTGTATCAACACTAGTTCCTCAACAATGATCAACAAGTCCTTTGTAGCTGGTCAGTCACGTGGTACAAAAGGGACGCACTGGGACCATTGTCAATTTTTGTCTTGTCCCAGTGCATCTGGCCTTGATCTACAGCATGGCAGTTTTTGTACCACGTGAATGACCCGCTGCAAAGGGCTTTTAGTTACGAAAATATCTTAACTAATGGCTTCGTGAATCCGGCCTGATGGTAGAGAAGCAGTGAGGGAGATTCTTCTAATGTACTTATAAGGGACAATAGGGAGCTTAAACAAAGGCGTTTTTGAGCGACGCACGTCAACCGGAAGTTAAGTCTTTTTCATTTGAACCCTTTAAGCCTAAATATCCACATACAAATTCTCCAAACTGATCTCTATACATTTCTTTAAAGAATAAGTTGAGAGAATTTGATAAAAGATCAAAGTATTTTCTCTGGGGTGATCATTTTATTAAATTTCATAACCTCATCTCATGACAATGTATTGGTATCGTTAGGAGAAAATTGCTGTTGGTCACTATTGGGACTTAAAGGGTTAAAGCAACTTGAAAATGCAAAATTTGTATTTCTAAGTGTCTTTACTATCATAGAGACTATTTGTCCAAACATTTGAGCAAAACTATTGTCCAAAATTGAAAAACCACTTCCGGTTGACGTGCGTCGATCAAAAACATGCCTAAACTCCCTAGTAACTTCTCTTAACTCACCTTTGATGCTGTCATCCTCTTTGTGTTCATCGGTCACTTCCTTCTTGTTTTCTTCACTGTCTGCAGCAGGTTTAGCTTCTTCACCTTTTTCCTGTTTAGCACTATCATTATCTTCCTCATTAGCCTTCTCTTTAGCTGCAAACGAGACATGAGGGGTTCTATAACATTACACGTTCTCATACCATTAACCCATTCATTAAAATATTTTGCATAACCGATTGGCCAACCAGTGGATGTAGTGTATTGGCGTTGATAGCGTAGTTTTTGCCTTAGAACCCCTACCATTCCTAGAGTGCTTGTTATACCCCCACCCCTCGAACTTCCGTATTTTACCTACTTGGTTGGGAACCCCATGGAAAGAATATTTCCGTCAAAAATGCGGTTGTACTATACTATTTTGTGAAAGATAATCTTTTTTTCAATGAAGAGAGAAAACTCCTCTGATTAATGTTAGTACAGTGTCTAATAATCTTAGGTCTCTCACAGTTAATAATTAAAGGTAAGTCACCGAGAAACATGGAGGCGATACGTTACTCGACACAAATGATGCCAGCTGTAAAAGAACCAGTTACATTCACACTAAACACCGAATGAACCTCAGTTACTTCCTTTCAGTTAAAAACATGTTAGAAGTTTTACAACATGATCATATTACGGTAAATACCACAATATATTGTGTTATACAGCAACTGCTATTCATGAGCAGATGACAATTGGTTGGCTGGGAACTACGATTTACTTTCCGTTTGAAACAAGAAAGCTAGCTTTAGAGGCCGGCTAACCCCTTGTTTGGTATATTTCCTTCAGTTAAACGGCTATTCACTTTAAAGGTAGTTTGCATGCACAGAACTTAAGTTGACTCTGTGGAATACAAAAGAATCACTAGCGAGATAACAACTGCGCACATCTCAGAGGTGCTATTCCATGTTAAGGGGCACTGGGTTATTAGTTCTAAACCTTTCTCCTATTACGCGCTAGTGAGCGCACACAATGAAACGACGTTGAGGCTTGGATGGACAAATCACTTAATTTTGTTATCCCAAGCCTCGCATTGGTGCCACTGTTCACTGGAATGCAGGTACAGTGCATCAAATAGTCCCCCGGGGGGTACTCCGCCCTGCGGTCCCACCCCTTAACGTTTTTTTAATATAGCTTTTGAGAGAGAAAAGCTAACCCTTTCTTATATCTTCTATTGACAAACAGTACCGCTTTCAAAGAGCTAGTAAGAACACTCCATCGTTTTTACCTACTGTAATTTCACCGTGTTTTTAATACGAATAAATCACGAAACCAGGAATTTTTCTTGTCCTTTCACAGCCCAAGATGCGTCTGTTAGCCCTTTCAACTTCTTCAACAGACCGACATGACAAGTTTACATACCCTTACATTTCATTTACAGTAGAACCCCGGTAACTCGAACTCGAAAGGGAAACGAAAAACAGTTCAAGTAAACGGGGATCGATTGCAAAATTCAATTGGCCATGTTAAAAATTGATATTTACTGATTTTTCAGCACTTCAGTGTCTAGTTCAGTGCAAATTTAACTTATTTCATCGGAACGGTAACATAATTAGCCATTTTTTTATGATAAAAGGTGATCTCGTTGTACTAATTAATAAATTGATATTTTGTTAACCAGTGTTAGTTTTAGTGTTTTTACCGATTATACAAAAGGAAGAGCTAACGGGATGGCATCCGAGTGGAGTTACAACAACCAGAATTCGAGTTCTCTGGGTAAATTTCAGTGAATTTTTGATCAAGGGAAATGAAATTTAGTTCGAGTTAACCGAGTAAAAATGACTGAAAAGTGGGGTAAAATCCAAGGGAAATTGGACTTAGTTTGAGTTGGCGGGGAGTTTAGGTTATCCGAGGTCGAGTTATAGGGGTTCTGCTATACCTGAAACCAGAAAAAGAAACCGCTTTCGGGTGGAGCCTTTCCATATGGGCCATAATAGTGAGTACCCCCCTGCGGGAAAATAGTCTGTCAGTCAACTGATCCGTACCTCCTTCGTCTTTGTCAGTTTCTATTGGTTCAGATTTCTGTTGCTCCTCTTCCTTCTTCTCAGGTGTTGCCTCCTTTTCTTCCTTTTTAACTGGCTCCTGTTCAACCTTTTTGCTGTCAACAATCTCTGTTACTGGTGTGGAGACACGTGAGGAGGTTTTACTTGAAGGTTTTTCTGTTGAAGGTTCTTCATCAGGACAAGCTTCCCATCCATTTATATGAGCAAACTCTTCAACCTGAACAAAAGGCCAATAACCACAACAATCATCGTCACTAGCTAGTCGTTTTAGGCCCCTCACACATACCCATTAGCCTATTCCTAGAAGGTGTGCCCCCCCCTCCCCTCCCTCCCACCCCCCACCTCGGAGTTTAGTCTTTGGTTTCACCGCGTCATAACGTTTGAAAGAACCCTGTTTAGTAAAATGAACAGTGCCAAAAGAAAATACTTCTTGCCGGCTTTCACACCACCTTTAGAATTAACTCCAGAAGCTTAACCCTTTAAGCCCTAAGAGTAATTAGCATCAAATTTCTCCTTGTAATATCACTGCTTTTTTAAAGAGAGTGGTCATGAGAATTACGGACATGATCACACATGATCAGAGTGGTCATGAGAATTACGAACATGATCACACAAGATGAATGTGCTTGATATTTTATCAACTTCTCCTCACTGCTTCTGTAGGAAATGAATAGGGGCAACAAATGAGAATTCAAATTTTGATCTTAGGGTTCAAAGTGTTAATACTACCACATTTAGTCTTGGTTTTCAAGATTTCTTATAGTAAACCCACCCACCTTCTTTCTTATGAGGCTCATGATACCAATCCGGGTCAACACTTGAGTTCTTTGAAGTCCTTCACGAGGTACTCCATCATTAAACATTTCCTTGTTGTCTGTTCCAGGCTCACACAAGTGGCGCAGAAACATAGCTACATATGCTCTGAAGGTCAAAAGCAATTTACATCTCGTTACCTTGAAATGTTTTTTCACAACATCAAACCTTTCCAACCTCATCAAAAATACTCCACAAGGTGTCGCTATTTTCAACTCTGTTGACCGTAATGTATTTGATATGTGATGAAACATAACCAGCATGGAGGCAGATGTTCTAGCAACAAGTAGTCATATAATGTGTTTTAACATCACGGAGGAAACAAAGGAAATGCGGAAAAGCACAGAGTGATGCAGGTGGGTGACAGATATCACCATGGTTTCCTCTCAAGGAAAAAGATAATCTTCCGAGAGCCTTCCTAAACGCAACTTCAGCTAATCAATTCCAATACAGCAAAGTGCTTCTTAGGAAACCAACATGGTATGGACAGAAACCTCGCTCAAATGATAAGTTTGTTGAATTATGTGGAAATTTTTCACGAACATTTTTTCGTTCCAACTAAAACTTTGGTGTATTCATAATGAGGAAAATGTTTTACACGTAAATTCCACTATATCAATTACTTACTGGAAGGCTTTCTCGGATTTCCCCCGGAGGTCTCGTGCGAACCTAGAACGGAATAGAGTAACAGAAGTCAGAGGGAAATGAATTCTCTCAAAGTTTTCAAGCTCAAATCTATTAAACAAGTTTCAATGTTAGTACCAATGCGGACTACCAGGGGAGCCCACAATCCTTATCACCACGTTGCTATTACGCATGCCCAACACGTACGTAGCCAGCATTCGTTCGGACTTCCACTGAGAATAAATGCCCCAACGCAAAGCTTAACAGCGTTGGAGCAAGGATGTTTTGACTTTTGACCTCGCCCGCACTTCCTAACCTTTCGTTACTAATACTACGTATGCTGAAACAAATGACCTGAAAAAGGTCTACTTTTACAGAAGAAGTTCTTTTCAACAAGGCATCCATCTTACCATTGTGATCGACGAGACCCTTCAGGAGAGGGCAGACCATACCTCATCACCGCATTCAGGAACGATTTACGCTGTCGCAAGTTGAAACCAAAAACCTGGATAACATAATAAAATACACTTTAAACTTTCAGTTCACTTCAACGGAACCTAAACAGTCTTGAAGGGGCGTATAAATAGTTTACTTTTTTCCTCATTAACTGAAACACTCAAACTCGATAGACTGTAACTGACGCTTGGCCATTAGTTGCCTAAACTACGAGGAAAAGACCGAAATGTACAACTTTGTCCAAGTAAAGCTTATTTGGAGTAAGATTGATTTACCTTTCAAAATCGTTACTCAAATCCCACTGACCAGTTCAGTACACACATAAGTTCCTTTCACAAACAATGCCGAATGACCTCAGCTCTGTTCTAAGGGTCCACAGATCTTGTCGAGTAACATTTTTGTATACGTTAAATTAAGTAACATACCTCCAAGTTGCCATGCTCTTTAGCCAGCATAGGAGGAGTGATTTCCCTGTCAGTAGCAGATCGAGTACCTCTCCGCTGACGACCTGCCATTAAAAGCAAACAAAAAAATCATTATTACAGACCTTATCAGCAGCTATTGATGCAACTTTATAAAATCTTTTTTATAAAGGTTTTCAAGTACATTTATATTCCAAGAAATCGTTCTACGGTGCCCAGTTTAGTTATTCCTTCCGATGCGGTAACTCAGTTCAGAAATTTTGTACAGCTACAATGGCGGCAAACTTACTCATAATTCTTGAGACCGAACAAAGGAAAAAAGAACGCCGAACTTTCCATGAGACGAATCAAGCTCTCATTTGGGTCGACCTAAATTAAATTAAGATCGTCCGTTGGGTCAGAAACTGTCGAACTTAGGACGCGTCGAACCAATTAACTGAATCAGATCAGCAATAAATTTTCTCCCAAACGAGGCTAAATATACATTATTTATACACAATTTTAATTTACTAGTTTAGTTCGTCGCATGTGAAGACCAACGTTTGTCCCGGAGACGATCTTCAAAAGGATAGAACGTGTTGGACGATCCAAATTAATTCATACGAGCTTAACTGAGCCAAATGTAGAACTTTTCATGAACGTAACTCACTAAGTTTGGTTCGTCTCATGAAACGTTTGACGTTTGGCCTGGGCCTAACTCTGGTAAAGGAGGTCAGAGTATCGGATCTTGATAACCATAAACCTTTCGCGAACTTAGACTTATCCAGACACCTCAAAGTCATGCAGTCTTTACACATCAACTACACCAGCGATATGTTTACCAAGCTTATTGCAGGAGCCAGATAATTTACGATCCGGCTGCAACTGTTACTTATACCTTCTGCCTTTTGATTAAACTCCTCATCTGATTCCTCTTCATCAACGTCACTGTAACCGTCATCTTCATAGTCCGACAAGTTATTAGTCCATGCTGTAAACACAATCAGTCTACATTAGATACCATGCACTCTGTAACAACTTACTGATATCTTCGTTCCAAAATAACTTAATTTTGCCTAAGTGATACTGAATGGTTATTTTTTTTTTCCAGTAACTAACCCGTTCCACTTTTGCCCTTAAAATGCAGGCGTAAATATTGTGGATCAATTTCAACTTGGTTTAATTAAGAATTTGTTCATGCTTAGCGTGCGTATATCGAGTTACGGACGCACGCGAGGAGTTTGGAGAGCCAGGGGGTTCATTAAGGTTATGAACAGGAGGGCAACTGAGTTTGACACCTGGGCAAAGAATTGGCAAGGCCCGGAGGGCCTTGCCCCCTAGGGGGTCAGGGGGCATGCTCCCCCGGAAAATTTTGAAATTCTATAGTCGTAAGGATGTGTTTTCCTGCATTTTGAAGCGGCAGACAATGACTTTCAACAACCAAAAAAAGATAACTTTTCTAGACAATTTAATCATGATTTGATACCAATACCCACCACACAAATTGGACTTTTTGGTTCTCTGTTAATAGCTCTGCTCATAATAATCTTTACTCAAACTCACCGTCAGCATCTGAGCCGTAATCAACTTATCTTTAAAATTTCAATGACTAGACGGGAGGAGCACTGTTTTAACGTGAATGCACCGAAAATTAATTCATTGGCGTAAACCATAAGACGAATAAAAATCACGCTTCGCTTCATTGAACATGATGATTAAGCCATTCAATATATACAGGCAAGTAAAAGGTTAAATCACAAAGAAGTCTACTTATCTCTTGGTCTTTTCTCTACTGGAGGCCCTTTGTTGAAGCCGAAAAATAATACGCTATCGAACGCGTTCTTTTCTGGGCCGCCATGCTCACGTGCTCGCAACACTGATACATTTCAGGTGGTCGTTTATGAATCACAGTTCTTTTCGCAATGTGTTATGGGGCGATTCTTGTTTTTAACACACAAAGAACGAGGGGATTTCGTGCCGCGTGTAATAGGGACCTTAAGATCCGAGGACGGCGACGGCAGAAAAAACGTCGCTGAAAAAGTGAATTCGCGTTCTTTCAATCTTCATCGCGATTACTCCAAGTCACTAACTTTGTCAACTGTAGGCGAACCCTCCTAAAGTTGAATTCCTAAGAACCATATCCAAGTTCAGAAAGAGAGAGGAAATTTCGACGTCGCTTGTGTATTTCCTCTGTACATCGTGAAATTAGGCATTTTCACGTCGTAGTCGTGCAGTGACGGCAAAGAAATGTACAAACAAGCGTGATGCACGTGCAAAATTGTTGTTTTGCTAATTAAACCTATTGCTTTTGTGGTGTTCCCGTTGCCGTCGCCGTCGTCGGATCTTAAGGTCCCTAATAAAGTGGAAATTGCACGGCAAAGTATGTTTTACACTCGATAAGACTCATCAAGAAATGGGCACGATTGTAACTTAAAACTGTTTTTGATCGTTCCTCGTATTAAAAAGAAGTTATTTGAGATGTAAAGCAGCCGGGCAAAGTCGTGTTCACAGCCGGTCAATTTGCCCGGTGCCCGGCCCTTAATGAACCCCCTGGAGAGCACCATAGAAGCGTAACTCTAGCTTCTTGAGTTTTATGGATTCAACTTTACACGTGATCTTATTTACGCACGCCCGAGCGTAAATAAAGATTTTGACCCTATATGGATCATTATACGTTTCTGGGAAACTGCCCACCTACTCCTCCCCTAAGCCAACATTTTGCCCCAAGTGGGAAGTGAGGGTTAATGTTTGCTTAGGGAGGGGTGGGGAGGCAGGCAAACACGCGCGCTATGTTATAAAGCTCGTGATCATTTGCTTTTGTCTCTGGTAATTTGTGATGATGATTTCGAAACTAAGGAAAGTATTTTGGGCGCGAGGGAAGCGTGCGGGGCGCGCGAGGAAGGAGCTCTTCCTCGCGCGGGGTCTCGCGCCCACATTTTCTTCCCTTTCCCTTTCGAACGCGGTTAACGTAAAACCAGTTAACGGCCTTTAATGGGTTAGTGAGCGAGTAAGTGTTCTCGCTACCGAGAGTTTGTAGTAGCGGCCGAGAGTTCATTTCAGAAGTCGGTAATTCTCACTTCTTTTCTCGGGGATTTCGCTCCCACCCGTATCATCAGAGTGTCCGTTATAGCCAGGTGTCCTCAAGACGAGTGCACCGTTAAGGGACTTGAATGTATTTCAAATGAATCGCAGGCTGAGCGGGGGTTAAGGAGCGTAGTGCAGTAGTAAGCACTCGATTAGCCCTCCCCAAACAGTTTATGGATGCAAAAAGCCAAATTACCTGATTCTTCCTGATCTTCCATGCCTCCATCAACATAGCTCACCTGGGGATACACACAGAAGCAGTTTAGAGTTCAATGACCATACTTACACGTAATTGTCTTTCAATAACCGCCTTGAACTTGTACGTAGCCTTCTAAATACCCAAATTTCAACTAGTTTCCATGTAATCGCAACAATCGGTTAGTAAACGTTTAGCGATCACAGCGAACATTGTCAGTTCTGTTTCAGGATGGCTTAAACGTTATCGTAAAGATGGTTACACTCTTTTTCAGCGGATCGAACCAATCATATGAATCGATGAACAGGCAGTTTTTTTTTGGAAATATTAATTGTGACACGTCATGTTGCGTTTTGAACATCATCACCATCACCAGACAATATTTACTAGAAACCGGGCGCCATTCCAGGCGAGAAAACTTTCTATCAGCGAAAAAGAAGATCACTGCAATCCAGTGACTACACCTCCCCGAAGTAAAAATCCCACCAAGTTGTTCAATGGTCAAAAATAAAAAGTTTAATTTGTGCCGGTAAGTGCTCATGCTTCGACTATTATGTAAGAGTTACTTATGTGGCCTGTGCCCTTTCAGCTTAGAGCCTTTAGGCTCTAGATGTGTTCAGCATCAAATTTCTCATAATATAAATACTTTATAATACAGAGTGGTTGCGAGAATTAAGGACGTGATCACACAAGATCAATTTAACTGACACTTTAAAAACTTCTCCCCAACACTTCTAGAGGAAATGAGAAGTTAAATTTTGATCCTACAAGTTAAGTAAAGTTAGTTACCTGTTTTCTGATTCTTTTTCCCTTTCCCAGATGTCGCGCCTCGTCTTCTTGGAACTGTTCGTAATGATGGCGTAAAAGTTTCTCCCAGTAGTCAGGGTCTGCTTTCTCTCCACCTTGCTGTTGATAAAGAATAGCAGTAGAATAGAACTTTTTCATGTTACTTATTGTTTTATGCTCATATAATTGACGCCAAGCCTCGCTAGTATGTTCAAACAACAAAAGAATTTTCTCTCAAAATGGATACTTAGAGGTAAATTAAGATGAATATAAAGGAAAAAATAATAATAACATGGAAAAAGTCCAGCTTGTAGGAACATGCTCGGATTTGCTCAGGAAAATACCACAGAGGAAGTGAAAGGTTAAGAACTGTTTTTTGCGGAATGTACATCATCGCGAAAGACGTTAATCAACTATTTAAGCCGTAAAGAAGATGGCGATTTTTTTTTGCTACCTTGAGAACTTCTACATCATCATCTTTCTGCTTCACTACATAGCTTGCGACCTGCAAAGAAAACCACAAACACCAAAGTGTTAACAGGATATACTGAAAGTAATGACTAAAAATACTTGGCTGGCATAAGCTTGTACATTCGTTAATAAAAAACACTTGTAAATCAATGGCTTTTAGAAAGGTTCACACACAAACCACAAACTGACAAGGGCAAACTGAATGATACGGTATCACTATCCAAGTTGGTATTTTTTATCACTTGAATGTTTCCAAACTTTGGTGTGGCTAGGTTATTAGTCATTGTATCTTTTAAATCTCTAATGAAATCCTATGGTGTTACCGCCCAATTGAAACCTCTCTGGCAGACGTTCGCGCAGCGCTATTTATTTCTAAGAACTTTAGAAATGAATATTTTTTGAGGAGGGGTGTGGGGTGGGGGGGGTGAACTTATTTCTCTAGTCACTATTAGCGGAGAAAGGATCAATTAGTATAATCTATATCACTGTGAAAATGTTTGAGCGTATATTACCACAAAGTCTAACAGTAATTCTAAAGGCAAAATGTGTTCACTATTCTGTATGCATGTCTAAATGCAAAATCAGTAAGACTTGACTACAGTGTTGGGAATAATTCACTACTATCATGGACGGAGACATTATCATGTCTGAGCGATATACTACTCCAGTAGCCTAATGCTAAGGCTCCAGGCCCTGCTCACTCATGTTTAATATTGCATGTCATCGAAGTGGTCTGTATATATGCAGATTACAACCACCTAAAGTGAGAGAAGTCATCAACAGGCCACAGCAACAAAATGCTGTCATCCTGTTCCTTCTCTTTTGACATGCTTTAGCCAAAAAGCTGGCTCTGCTAGTCAACTATAAACCATTGGAAAAAGGACGACACATAAAACTAAAAGAAATCCCAGCCGTTTGATTCCCCGCCTACTTTTTGTATTTAAGCCCGGTTCTTATATGCCGCTGATGCACCTGCGACATGGCCGCCAGTACTGCCTGCGATACTGTTCCGATATGAGAGCAGAAGTAGCCAGCAACATTGGTCATCCCAGTCTTTACCGCTGGCATGCCTGCGAAGCTGACTCGAGTTCATCTTCGCAGGCATGCCGGCGGTAAAGCCTTGTGATGGCTCTAGTTGCAGGCAGCGCATGTTCTTATTTGTCCAAGAAGTAGCCCAGGTGGTACCTGCAGCTACGTTGCAGATACAACGGCGGCATATGAGAACCAGGCTTGCCCAGGGTAGCTAGGGTAGGCAAGTGACCCTTCCACCTTGTACAACTTTTCTCCATATAAACAGGGCCTGGGTCTTACCTTGAAAGAAGCGAGGTATTCATTAGCCAACATGTCTTTCTCTTCATCAGGAGCATCATTATGGCTACTTGTACGGTCCAACAGTGACATGATGGCTTTTTCATCATAATCTATGCGGCCTGAGTCAGCCGAGTCTGACAATAAAAGAAAATCGATTTAGAATGTATATTTCGGCATGCTTAAGAAATATGGTCTCGCTATCTCCTGTTTTTTCCAATTTTTTTTCTTAGCAGCAGAAAAACATGGCAGGGCGTGGAAGATGGCTCACTCATGTTTTACTCCTTTTGCCACCCCATGGAAAAAAAAAAAACTACTCATAGTCTAGACTTCAGTTCCTTTCACCAACTGATACATATCTTGTCACCAGTTATAAACCATTTAGGAGTTATCAATAGCGTCCGCAAAGTCACATGTCTTCCACGTACCAGCACTTGCTTTTCAGTAGGTTAAAAAAAGATATTATTAGATAAGCTTCGAAAATTGTACATGAATGGTCATCTTAGTTTAGTTTTAGTCATCTTAATTCAGTTTAAGCCTTCCTTAAGCTATAGAAAATTCTAGGCAATTGTTGCTTCTCCGAACAGATATTTCACAGAAAACAGTCATTGGGTGCCCCTGACTTAAGGTAGTGTCAGGAATGATTTGATTCACTAAAGAAAGGTGTGTCAGTAGAAGACGAACCTCCATCTTTAGCATTGTCATCCTTGAAGAGTTCTTGTGTTCCAAATTTGAGAATATCATTTAGCTCACTCTTAGACATGACAGCAGTTTTGCTGGATCCCAAGCCGGGTCTAACCACAAGATGAGTCAGCATCATCTTCTTCTTGGCAACCTTTCAAGCAAAGATCAAAGTCATCAGAGCTTAAGGGGTCATATTATACATCTACAGAAAAAAAAGGCGCTTTTGAAGAAGTTGTTTGTTTCACACTGATAGGGGAAGTAAATTAGTGGAGATTGAGGTTTCTCAATAAACAACAATCAAATAATTACAATTTTTTAACACAAAATTTCCAGAACTGGGATGCAACTATACACAAAAGTAGCTATTCTTCAATGTTTTGTTTCCACTGAGCACCGTAGTTTGATAAAGTTTCTTTAATACAGTCAACGCTAATATGGACAATTGAGCTCGGGTGAACAAAGCAATATTGGATTGAATGTTCATTCACTGCAACCCTTTCCTTGATTTGGAAGGAATTTCTCATGTTTTTTCCAATTTAGGTCATTCCAGCCATAACGTCTCCTTAAAAAAACCTAAAACATGCAGATTATGCTTATTATCATTTATTTTGCCCGATATTTTTTTATAGTTAATATAAGAAGCTGTCAGTGTGACACAATTATCAGCATCATCAGAGACTGCACTTCCCTGCTAGCAGAGATCTCTCACGATACCTCTGCTAGCAGGGAAAGACTGCACCAGCACACCTCCAAATAAAAACCACCAAGGAAGGAGTCATAAACGTGTTCCATTAATGTGTAGTAAGAATCCAAACAATTATTGTTTAGATTGTGTCTGCAATAGCAGGAACTGACTATACTTTGTTTAGTCACTTAAAATAAATATTAATTATTTTTCCCTTACACTTGTTATAATGTACAGCGCTACGTACCTGTGTGATCCGTTCTTCCACACTGGCCCTTGTAACAAAGCGATAGATCATAACCTAACAAGAAGACGGAGACTCATAATGTAATTTTGATATTCTACATGTATTGAAAAGTAATGTCTTAACTGATGCTCCATGAGGGGGACATAAAAAGTCTGAAGACAATGACGCCTCTCTCAAGTGCACTGGAGGGTGAATTAAGAAAAGTCTCTGAATACAGGGCTAAACTGTACAGAACAATATGAATGAATTGGACGAAATGAAATGAATGGATGAAAGAATGAATGAACGAATGCATGAAATGAATGATGAGTTACGGACGAGAGAACATCAGACGTGTTTTTTTACTGTACATTATATATTAACAGACACGCTAAGGTCTGAAATCAAAGATTGTTTGATGTTCTGGCCTGGGTTTGGACCCATGACCTCCTGCTTGGAGGACAAGGGCCCATTTTTCGAAGGTCCCAGAAACTTTCCAGGCTCGAAATCAAATATTCAAGTAAAAATGTAAAGAATAAAATCGCGTAAGTCCTAACCAGCAAACTCGTCCATTTTGTTTTCTTAACTGATAATTTTATTATGTTATCTGCAAAAGTACTGAAACCTCTATCTTGAATGTAAACAACAACAGCTTTCTGGGCCCCAAACTATCTGGGTCCAGTAACTATTGGGACTTTCGAGAAACAGGCCCTAGGTCCTTCTCCAACTGAACTAACTAGGATAAATGAAGACTTTTTACAATAAAACAATACACAAGGCACTGAAGAGCACCAATTTGTTAGTTAAATACCTTATTATTTTGACCAATTCTATGAGCTCTGCTGAACGCCTGTGAGGAAAGACAAGAAGGGAAGAGAAGCAACACACATGTACAACATCTTATTAGGTTGGCTTATTTTTAAGTTGCTACGTACGCTCTAGTGGATAAAATATCTTGTAATTTCTTTTTCTACTCCAGGGTAAAGCAGGTCACAGCTTTGTAACTGTGAACAGAAAACCCAAGTAAAAAGAGGTCTACTAACATACCAAATTTTCTGAACTATTGGATTGGCCAAAATACAATTGTATACCTGGATGTCATTGTGAGGATTCCAGTCTGAGTCATATATAAACACAGTGTCAGCTGTGGCTAAATTGATGCCCAGACCTCCAGCACGAGTAGAAAGCAAGAAACAAAACGTCTGTGCACCAGCAGCTTCAAACAAACAAACAGAAAAAGAAAAGGCAAGAAAAATAGAGCTGTGATTAGCATAAAAAACAATATTAATAAAACAATTCAATAACTGTAATGTAGGGCTGTCAGTAAGATTTCAAGTTTCAAGGAGTATTCAATTAGTAGGTAGTAGGTAGTAATTGAACAGCTAAGGGGTTCTATTGGTTTTGTTTTCATTTTACTAACCTATAAAAAGTAGCTGGGGATTCATGTTCCTTTTACTGGGTTCATATAAGGCCAGGATTCATACATGGTCAGGATTTTAATAAAATGAGGATAATTTCAATTTTTTATATTATTTATTTATCAGATAACCACCATGAAAAGTTACAAATTTGCCCGCCACCAGAAGCTTAGTTTTAGAAAAACAGGAGCACTACACACAATACACTCACACAGTCTAAGGAGTTTTGGTCAGAGGACAGTCAGCAGAAAAGCACATATTCAACAGCAAATATTTCTTTCGTGAAAATACAGTTTTAACAGTAGCAGTATGAACTATAGCTGAAGATTAAGGTTAACAAGTTTTGAAGATCACCCTATAGCTACTTCCCAATTAAAATTACTGAAATGCTGTTTCCTCCTGCATCACATGTACTTACCATTAAACCTATCAATACATTCTTGCCTAGCTGCTCCATTGACAGTTCCATCAATTCTTTCATATTTATAACCGTGCCCCTCAAGGAAGTCTTCTAAGATATCCAGCATTCTTGTCATCTAGTTTGGCCAATAGCAAACAAGCAGGGGCATTAGTATGTACAATATATTAGAATTGACAATTATTCTACGAATGCGCGTTAGATATGAGATGGTAAATAGCCAATAAGGCGCGTAGCACAAGCTTGTATATTATTATCCCATATCCAACAAGCGTGAGTGAAATAATTATTGTTTTATTAAAAACGCCCACAAAATGACGAGAATTGTTCCCGACTTTATTTGTAAAACCAACCAATTTTCAACTTGTTTTTAATTTTGAACAGACACGTACAGTTACCACAGGGGACATAGGGAATGTAGGTCCTGATGTCATGGTCTATCTGACTTGTGCCGTCATCGGCCTGGGTGGGCGAGGTGTGATCAAAGCATGGACTGAAGTGGCCGCAAGAGTGCGCCTTTACATGCTGACGTCCGATCTCACCTCTCCGGTTCCTCCGCAATTCAGCCATTGGCTGCAAGTGAGCAAAGTTGGCACCGCATATATATGATGACCATGCCAATCAGAGCTCTAGAATTGCATTATCCAACAATTCAGTTTTTAATAATACTTATTACTATAGCTTAGTTTGAAGGAGTGATAGCGTGAAGAATAGAGAAGGCATGATAGCATTTATGACATTGTTTTCAATTGGAGTGGGAGAGTGGACAAGGACTTTGAATTGCACTGTAATATTTTTCACTCACTAAAGGTATTAAAGGTTTTTGCAAAGGCCAACAGGGTGATTTCAAGAGAAGGGCAGAACAACGTATTAAATGAATATTCAACTGTGCATTGGTATGTTAGTAATATTTGGAGCATACACATCAACTATAAGCAGTTGGATCACAAATCACAGTGTAGTTCATGCTACCTGTGAAAAGATGAGAACTCTGTGTCCTTCCTCTCGTACTTTTTTCAACATCTTCTCCAGTAGGACCAGCTTTCCAGAAGCACGAGTAAGAGCTGCTGTGTCTAAGTTACCATTAGCACTTCTGGGAGCCTCCTAAGGGCCATGCAAATGACATAATGGAGGGATTTAGAATAATTATTATATTTATGGCGAACGGAAAAAGTCTGATTCTAGCCGTCCATTTCTCAAATTAGGAAACAAAACGATAGAAGATGTGTAAAATAATTCCTTCAGGTAAACTGGGCCTAAAACTTCTTATCTTTTCATTTACCTATATAAAATGAACAATAAACAAAAAGTGAAGTGAAAACTTGGTGAGATAGTAAAAATGAATGCTTGCTGCTTTCTGTACACGTTTTTCAAAAGTT